TCTCTATGCCTTGGCCTTAAGAACTAGTTATTTAGTCATCTAACATATTAATAGTAATTGTGTGGGAATAATTGCTTAAACAGTGGAAACATAATCAAACAACCAGAATGTGTATTATTTTCTTGCAAGTGGCAGTATCCTGTCTAATGTTTTTTTTCCTGAGCTTATCTGATGATTCAAGGAGTAAGCAGGTTTCACTGCTGTGGGTGGCCAGCAAACATAGAAAGGTCACATGTTGCATTAGAGGGGTCAGCTGCTGAACACATTAATCAGGCTAGTGTTGGGGGCTTTAAGAAATCATGTGGGAATACAGCTTTCTCAGCAGCTGGGTTTTCTTTTCAGATAAGGTCAGTACAAATACGTGGTGCATAAAGACTTTAAAAATAGACTTTAAAGGACCAGTGTGTAAGTTTTAGTGGCATCTAGTGCTGAACCAACTGACTTAATCAAGTGAAAAGGAGAAACAACAGTGGGTGGAAAACTTGTAAAAAAAAACAACAAACGTGCCCTTATCTAGAGCCATGGTTTAGTTTGTCCATTCTGGGCTACTGTACAAAGAGTGGCTCAATATGACGGCCTAAAAGTAGATAAAAACATCATTCTCTACCCTCATTCTAAGGTAACAAAAACACAGCCTCGCCCCTGTTTATTTCAGGTGATGTCTGCAGCGAGCAGTATGAAAAGAACTACAATTATGATCCGTCCCGCTCTGCCCAAGGTAAGATTCCTAAAGTGTTAATATGGACCTTCGCAAGCCAGTACCGTATGATACTTATACTGTTATACCCTACCCTGGCCTGCTCCCACGTACCCCCTAGGTATAGTATGTATTCTCTACACTTTGTGGTTATGTACATTGGCGGAGTCAAGTATGTAACGAAAGTAATTTCCCCCTGGGATTATTAAAGTATTTCTGATTCTGATTCTGATTGCCACCTAATCATTTAAGGATTCATCACAAAAATCATAAATACAGATTTTCTTACCTGTAGTGCTATTTATACTTCTAGATTGTTTTAGTATGAGTCGCTGAGTTTTGGAGATATCAGTCATAGAAATGTTGTCTTTCCAGAAATCATAGCTCGGTTACTCAACATAATCCACAGACCTCATTGTGAGCAGTTTCATGTAGGAACCTTTATTATGCTTCTATAAACCCCCCCTTTTTTTCATGTTTATTTTAAGTATGTGTTCTCCACGAGTTCCTGTATGTTTGTTATTGTGTGTTAAACAACAAAAAAGGTTTTAATAAATCAATAAAAGGTGCTAGGTTAGCTTTTGGATGTTTCTTTGACTTCATGATAATTATGCTATTTTTTGATTACTTCCGTTTGGTCAATGTATTTTGAAAGTGCTTTCCGGAAGTGGCAGTATGCTGTTTTGTCCATATTGTCGGTGACATGAACAATTTCATCTTGTAGTTCCTCACTATGACCACTGGGGGGAAGTAAAAACTCACCAGCCTGAAAAACAGGACCATCATTTTGTGGTTTCTTGGCACAGAAACTACATCTTAATCTCAGTGGTTACTGTGGCTGGCTGGTGGGATTGGTGTTAAAACTGCTGAGTGGAGAGCCGTCATTAGGGTTACCTGTAGTCCTCCATTTCCCAGGAGGCACTTTGAGTGTGGTGTTTATGTCCAGTACTCTCTGGTTAAAACCATCTTTATGCTGTCAGACTGCCTTTGCTGCCATCTTGGTGTTCTCCTACCTGACTTCTCTTGTCTTCAACAAAGGCATGCTTCCTGAGAAGTCTTCAAAGTAAAAGCCCAGCACTCACCACAAGCACCATGGACACCAATAGATGTATAGATGTAGAGAAGTAGCCCATCTATTACTGTATATGTGTTTGTTTCTGCCCTGTGAATAACTGGAATACTTTTGGGTGTTGAAATATTTGTCTCATGACTTTATTTTACAGACTCATAACCAATCCAAGTGGGAAAATGTTCAGCCTTTATTTTATATCATATTATATTATTGTTTGTGTTTGTTTGTATATGTGTATAACTGTACATAGTAGTTTATGTCTATTTTGTTAAGCTTGTTTATTTATGCTTATTCTGTGTTTGTACATTGAGAGCAACGTAAAACCGGAGTCAAATTCNNCATACCTGGCCAATAGAAGTGATTCTGATATCAGGTGGGGATTGAAATGATGTTTACCATATTCTTTTGCTCTTGCAAATCATGAAGAGTAACTGCTGTAAGAATTCATAAACCAATGTGTTTGAGTGTGCGACAACAAAATATTGTCTCACTGTCACAATTTACACTGTTTTATGTATCACTTTTTACCAACACTTCATATGAGCTACAGTATATGATGCTTACATTGAATAATAGTTTGGTGCATGTTTCCCCCATATTCATCCAGACACACAGCAGGGCAACTGGAAATATATAGTATACATACGTTTTATTGTAGCTTTGATTAAGTTCAGTGAGTGTGCTTTAATGTTACATTTAAAAAATACTAAATATATACTGTCTAACATTCCTTGCAATAAGGCAAAAATGATTTCTAGATTGAAGGCCTGTTTCCATTGACAAAGAAGCAGCCCTACTGTAGTTTTGATTACACCAAAGCAGTCATTAAACACCTAGGCTACTAATTAATTATCCACTGAGGCCAGATCAAAAATATGTTGATATTATATATAATATGATATCATGTTTAACTATTTGTATTCTCTATACCTTATCATTTCCAGTTAATATTATGCAGTTGGACAGATGGATATCCACATATTAAACTTTTTCTTATTTGTTCAATTATAGGGCTGAAATTCATGTCACTGTGGTGGTTTACATTTTTAAATTAAATTTAAACTTTATCTCCACCCAGACAGGACCGTGTCGGGACTACTTTACCGCCCTCCAGTGGCCACAGTGACAAACTACAAGCTGTAACATTAGTCAAGATGACGTGGATGCAACCATGGTAGCATACCAACACTTCCTGTCACTACTTTCAAAATAAAACAAAAAGTGCAGCTACGCGAGGTGCAGATCGTATGACATTAATCGATAGAGCCTTTTGTTTTGAAAGGGCAGCACTGTGATCACTACTCTACCTTGGTGAGTAGTGAAAAGGTCCATCAGCGACCTCCAACCAAACACAACTTCACCGAGGATAACAGTTGCTGCTTGAAGTTAATAATTAACGGTATTTGAAAGCTGAAAGGACCCATTTGGACAGGACCGCGTAACGTAAGCTACAACCGAGCTAACGGGCTAATTAAGCTGTTTTTCGGGGGTTTCCGCTCAGTGGGGTAAGAGGTTAGTCAGCTGATGAAGGGGCTAATTGCTAACTACGTACCAACTCTAATCGTGTTATATTAACAGACTTCTCTGCGTTATATTTGTGTTGCCGTTGCGGTACAAATGATAGGTGAACTGGTGTGGACAGAGACGTTATCTGTTGTTGCTGTGTCAGCGACTTTGTCACGAATATTAGCCTGTTTTTAGCCTAACTCTTGTACACCGGATAAACCTACGCACACTGAAAAGAGTCAAATCAGGTGACGTTACTTATCGTCAGTCAAAGAGAGAGCGGCCTGTCTAATGTCACTGTGCTTTCAAACTGGTGTGAAATGACTGCAGATTGCGGATGAGGTTAGTTTTACACTGGGGTCGAAGTTGAGTCAGCATAATCACCTGTAGCCTCAAGCTAAAGTATGACGAAGTGTGTAAGTGTGTCAGTCAGCCCTCTCGTGTGTGTTTTCAGTAGTGCTGTGTATGTTTGGGTGGACACACAGGAATTGCATGTGAAGCTAACTGTCACTGTTTTGTTTCAGAGGGGGATGGAGAAAGCTAAACAAGATGCATTCGACAATGCCAGACTCCAGGTGATCAAAGATGGCTACGAGAGGGCCTTTGAGTGCCTCAATAAGGGACTCACAGTAGATGAGGCTGGGGACAAGGCACAGGCCCTGGAGCTCTACAAGCGGGGGCGACAGCACCTTCTCAGGGCCATCAGCGTGCCTTCACAGGGGGAGGAGTGTGTCGGCAGCTCCTGGGAATCGGCCAGAAAGATGCAGCAGAAGATGCAGGAGACGCTGAACAACATCACCACTCGCATGGCCATACTGGAGACCAGCTCTGACGTCGGCTCTGCCCCTGCACCGGGTGTGAGTGCGCCTGATGCTGCAGGTCCGTCTGGGGGAGGTCTCTACCCGGCACTGCCCACCAAGAAGAAGCCAGGGAGGCCTGCTGCACCGAACCTCGCCTCAGCTAATGGAGCTGTGGGAGGCATGCAGTGCAGTGGCGAGGGTCTACCTGTCTCACCCAGCAGACAGCCTGTGGTCGCAGCCGAGCAGCCGCCGGCTTACTCTCCTCAGGCGGCTGACGGCCACCTGTCTATCTCATATGGAACTGAAGCGGGGGAAATGTCACTGGTTGGGGATGAGTTCTACAGTCGTACGTCCAGCTCGACGCCGTCTCCCCAGAGTGTGGGTGAAGAGGGAGAGGAGATGCTGTACATCCCTCACGGCGTGCAGATATTCTTTGTTACACCCGAAGGGCAAGTGAGCGCTCCGTCGTACCCGGGCTACCTGCGGCTGGTGAAGTTCACCAGAGATCACTCTGACACAGTGCCCAACCGGCCGCCAGCTTTTCTGCAGGTAAGAGAAAGTGAACGGTTTCCCACAGGTGTTTTCAGCGCAGTAACACACAGGTATGAAGCATGAAAGGACCGTGTACGAGTGAAGTGTCGTCACTGCAGCGTCACCAGTTCTATCTCGCGCCCTCTGACCTGATTTTGTAAGATGTTTGCTCGGCTCATCAGGACTTCTTTGAATGTGAGTCATCAGCAGGAGGAGATAGGCTTGTTAATGATCTGCGTCCCTCAGCCTATGGACGTGGTCATGTGAGCGTTGTTTACGCTCAGTGCCCTAATCCTAATTGGGTTTCTGGATATGATGTCAACCTCCTGGGAAATCCAACATCATTACTGGCTCAAAAGTGGACACAGATGGTACCTGAATCACGACCTACTAACTTTCTCCACAATGCTAAAAATGACTCTGTATATGACTGGTCATGTTGACCAAAAATAGACTTGCTCTTAGGGTTATATTATAGTATTTTTGCACACCTGCTCTGCCTTTAAAAGCTGTTAGGATGGCATAGAATATATAAATGCACAGTAGAAAAACCTGGACTAGTACATTTGTACAGTCTGATGCAAGCAAATACAGCAGCACTGCAATGAATCCTACATTGATGAGGTCAATAAGGTCTTCACAGGGACAGTTTAATGTTATTTTCTCCTTTCCAAACATTTGCTCACCGACGCATTCAGGTAAAAGTCTCCATTGGGCAGGAAAACCATTTGATTTATTACACTGATAATTCTTTATGGAGGAAATGAGCAGTCTGGCAGCTGTGGCTGTATGACAGTAGTTTTAGACAACATGGAAGAGAGTGCTTTTTTTTCCCGGTACAGTTCAGTAATGTGTCCCCATGAAAAGTATGTATTTTGTTCATTTTTCATATGAATGTTAACATAACTCAAACACACGAGTTGCACTAATGAGTCTGAGCTTCTCACGTGATCTTTGGGCTCTTCTGCCTTTCAGTGAAAAGCACACAAAAAAATCAGCTCACATTTCAGTACACTGTTACTTTGACCCTGGCTTGTGTGCAGACTAACAGGCCTTTGAACCACTAGTTTGGTTTGTAAATGCAGAGGTCATAGGTAAACAGTATAACAAGTGATAAGATAAGAAATACGTGAAACCATGTAAACGTATCGGTGTAGGTTTTGGCTAAAGGAATAACACAAAAGCCTCAATCAGTACCATCTGATTTATCCAACTTATCTTGTTTTGAGCCATTCTGTGTTGTTTTTCCTTGCTGACTGTTTAAACAGCCAATACATTGACCCTGGTGGATCATGGGACTGAAATTTGACTCCTCATTGGGGAATTTCCCAGGTGCTATAGCCAGTGGGTGACATCAGGGATTCACATGAGTGCAAGTAATTCTGTAAACCCTGCTTACAATGTCATGCCCTGTAATCCTGTTAGACAGCAGTCAGAGGAAGAGCGTGTCCTCTGGTTCTTCTTGTCTCAGACGGTTGACTGTGTTGCACTAATCAGAATTACCATAAGACATGTAAGGCTAGGTCCTTTTGAGGTTATATTTGCAAAGATATATTTTAGCCACATTTTAGCCTTACCTTTGACTTCCGTGTTAACTTTTGGCCCGATACACATCATCATAACATCATAACATCATACGTTTACCTCTTTCCCGGCTGATGTATTATTTATTTACCTTCCTTTTGTTTTCTGGCAGGTGTGTGACTGGCTATACCCACTCATGGCCATGGACTCTCCAGTGTTGCTGTGTAACACTGGTGTGTTTATGTTTCCGGACATGATGGCACCAACTCCAGGCTATTATGTAGGGGTGGTGTTGTCCTCCGAGCTGCCTGCTGCGGACAGAGTGCTGTTCCAGGACCTGTTGTCCCAGATGACAGATCTCAGGGTTCAGGTCAGTGTTGCTGTGTAGTCAGATCTGTGACAGCAGTACATGCTTCACATTCTTTGGGGAACACATGCAAATGGTGTTTATATATATATATATAT